ATCCAGGAAGCCAGAGTGTGTCTGACAACTGCCCAGTCTTATATAGCAACACATTCAGAATATCATCTTCAGTAATACAAACACTAAGGGAAACATGTTTTACAAAAGAAAGTTCTACCTTTTTGGCAGAAATTCACCTCGCTTTAATATGGTATAAAATGTCTAGGCTGTGTTCCATCATTGGCCGCTGGTGTCCCCAAGGTGTACCAGGGGGCCAGGAAGCAGGCACACAGGAACACGGGAACACTGACGTCTCACCTGCTGGATCTGCCCAGCTGGCATGCTGGAGACCCAAAGGAGCGTGCCTACGCTCCGACACGGATTTCCACTCAGTCTCCTTCCCTCCGTCCGACTTCCAGACATGATTTAGTGGGAGGGTATTTTCGTTCATGAATAATTATGGGGCACAAAAAGGTCCTAACAAGGGAGAGCTAACAAGATCTTTAAAGTATCCCTCTTAATGAGTCCCAGCAGGCACTGCAACGGGCTTATTTACAAATCTGCCGCAAAGTCACTGGAGCTGTATTTCTTTCATTTCCGCTTAAATAAGATTGGAAAACACGTCTCAAAAGCATGGGGAACTTATTTACATACAGGAATATAGAATCAATTCCACTAAATTAATTACAACATTGTAAAAAACGTGTTGTAATCATGAAAGGTTTAAAAATAATAGTGCTTCTACACAAGGCTCTTTCTTTTTCACGAGTCCTGATTAATGAGACAGACAGCAAGAGGAATTACTGTCGTGACAAATGCTGATTCAGAGTCTTCCTTTTATTAAGTGGTTTATAGCGAGGGCTGTGACTATTTTTTCTATTTATAGTGGCAGCTCTGGTTAATTACCTTGTAATGTATTGTGACATTAGTGCACTAGTAAACTATTGGAATTTATGCCCCAATTCAGTAATAAAATCTGTAAATTGAAGAATGCTCATAAAACCACCACAGGCATAAATTCTGTGACCAAATGCCATGTGTGATCACATTAGATTTAAGGAACAGAATCTCCAAAATTTGCTCATTAGTGGAGAAGTGCCACTGAACTGATACACAGCAGCTACTTTGCAAATGTAGAGAGCATAGCTTATTTAAAGATATTTTGTACATTTCCCTTTTCATTATTTTCAACATGCTGGCCATGATTCTGACTTATGAAAAACCATAAATAAATGACACTTTCAGTACATTTTCCCTAAAATGAAGTGATCATGGAAGAAAGCAAGGGAACAGAAGGGAGTTTGGACGGTGATGGCTGAGCGTTCGCTCCGTGCTCAGCACGCTCACGTGCCATGCTGGAGGATGCGCTGGGTCGGCGCTGGGTGACAAAATCACGTAGTGACACATTCATACACCGTACCCCCAGGATGAAGCAAAAATCAAAAAGTTCATGGAAAATTAAATCACAAGAGAAGTTTATGTTGGTGCAAACAGGTTGAGATGCATGAATACTTTTTCCATAATAACATGTTTTCCGTGAACTTTGAAGATTCATGGTATACTTTTCTAAACAATGCTGTATAATATATTTAAAATTAGCAAATGAGGATAAGGATCAATATTTGACAGGAAGAATTTTGTGGTTGTGAATGACTCTTTACGCAAATTAACTCTATTCTATTTCTTATACTTGTCTTTAAATGCCAGATACTCTTAAGACAAAGGAACTAGAGTTTTTCAATGTTATTTTGGGCATTTATAAAAAGTGCATTTTTGTCTAATTTTAAAAACCGCAAGGCAGCGCCACATGAGTTCTGACTGTGACTGCTACTGCGTCATTCAGAATTGGAAGCTGCGAAGATGATCACTCCAAGTTAGATCCCAGGCTGAGGCAGACTGACACACTGCACACGGGACTCCTGGCTCAGGGTCGTTCATTCTCTGTCAGCACAATGCCGCCAATCTGAAGGGGATGACACTTTAGAGCCAGGCTTCCAATAAGGCCACCAGCTTCCCATAGACACCTGCCACAGGTTCCACACATTGCATTTCACTTCATCTTCCTCATTAATGCAAATGTGGCACCATCAGCCATGACTATTCAGATGATGGATAGAAATGGTGCCAGGACACACAGCCCTGCCTGACCCCAAGGCCTATTTTCTTCTTGTACATAATAACCATGAATCAAAAAGTATACAAACTCACATTTTCAAATGCAAGGTCAGTTTCGGTTCTGTCACATCCCTAATCCTTACAAAGAGACTCTGAAGTCTAAATTTCTGATATTTTTGTATAGTAGTTGAAGACACCAAAACTTACACATGTTCCAACATTTACCGACTTCAAACCTGCTTGCTGAGTCACTTCTTCATCTTACCCTGAATTTAGTTTACTTTTTATATGTTTACTTGGCAGTAGTTTACAAATGGTCCGAGCTCTACACCCACAGTATTTAGGACCGGTGGCTCCTAGTCCAAGGAAGAGAACCCATTTTCTCCTTCTCAAGTATGGGCTGGAAATGCGATTTGGTTTCCCTAATGGAACATTAACTACTGCGACACAAGCAGAGGTTGCCCATGCCCCCAAAATTCAAGAATGGCCTTCCTGTTGCCAGAAATCCTTTCTCACAGTGGGCATAAACCTACTGTGAAAGTGAGCTGGCCTACTGAATGATAGAACACGTGGTCCTCATTTCAGATGAAAAGGCAACCACCAAATATGTGAGTGAATCTTCTTTTTAGAAAAACTAACCTGCCTGCTAACTACCAAACACCTATCAGTTAAGCCAGTGCAGTCACCTCAATTGACTCTGAAAGCTCTAATAAATATTTCTTGTTTTAATTTACTAATCATTGAAATGGATGAATGTGGACTGTTACATTATCCCCCATATGACCTTAAAGCAATTCTTCTCAAATCATATTGATGTCATACCTGAACAACTGGATTTTATTCCAGTTATTAACTTTCACCAACAATCTCCCTGTTAGGTGAGAATAAGCTTCCACTAAGAGCCAACATGGCCAAACAATGTATCCCTTTAGAATTTATGGCTAGTCCTGAAATGGGGGATTATGTCACACATGTAACTTGGCCCATTTTTACTGCTACATAAAAATACCTGAAATTGGATAACTTACAAAGTACACATGTATGCCTCACAGTTCGAGCATAAGGCATTGGCAAATTTAGCATCTGGGATGTACTGTTCTGTGCTTCCAAGATGGCCCCTTGGCCTCCTGGTTACATGCGGGAGGCAGAAGTGAAGAAAAGGGCCTTGCTCCTTCCTTCTAGCCATTTTTTAGGGCATCAATCCCTTCACAAGAACAATGTTCTCAGAGCGTAAAGACCTCTTAAGGCTCCACCTTGCAATATTACCGCATTGAGGATTAAGTTTCAACTTGAATTTTGAAGGGGATGCAGACATTGAAATCAAAACAGCTCCCAAGCCTTCAACACACTACAGAGCGCTCTGAGGCACTCCTGTTCCTGTCCCCGTCCACTTAAATGACGTGTCTCTTTCACATGGTTCCTAGATCCTTGCGTTGTACGGACACACTTCTCATCCCTTTCCCCTTCGCCTTGGACGTGAAGGACAATCAGCTGTCACTGTCCATCTCCTCCCCAGTTAGCTTGTCACCTACACTGACATCGGAGGGACCTTCTCATACCAGAACAGGTCATGTCATGACGTCACTCTCCACTGACTAGGGGGAAAAAAGGAAAATACAACACATTTTCTTCTCCAGAATAAAACTCAAACTTTCTTAGAACAGAACAAAGAATCCTTCTTAATGTATCATGTTCCTTCTCTCTAGCCTCTCCCAGGGAATTCTTGCCATTTGGGGCTGTTTCCAGCACACTTCCTTAATCACACCGCACATTTCCACAAATCATGTTGTGGTTCCTTCTCTTCCTTTTGATGGAATCCCTTCATCCTCCCTGCCCCCCTCTCTCCTGTTGAAAAGCATGAACGCAGTATGTGTCCTTCACTGACAGCCGCGCAGACAGAAATCTGTGGGTGGGTTTCCAGCGGGTGCCAGGCACAAATGGTTGGGGGTGGGAGAGAGGGAGTAATCCCTAACACTCCCTCTGGTTAAGGAGAATCAAGCAAGAGAGTGCAGCAGGGCCCGCAGCCACACACGATACTGCATCGTGGGTGAGGACACGGAGGGAAGCACAGGACACCCTGAGCCAGGCAAGCCCAGGGCTGCTCGCTGACACAGGTGACCCTGGAAGCACAGGTGTAACTTACAGAGAAAGTAACATGCATAGCAAGCGCACTGGTAAAAGTCAGGCCAATTACTCCACAAGTTATTAACACTGATTGAAAATACACCATTTCTTAAAACAAAAACAAAATTAACCTTGAGACACTTGGCCTTTACAAAGTTACAATGTGTATCCCTACGTGAACAGCTTTGAAATCATAAAACAATCTAAACAACGTAAAAGAACTGCTAAGTATTTTTTTTTCCTATTCTTAGTTTATAAACATTTACCTACCAATTTTTATTTCATAAAACTATTTTAAAAATCTGTCACTGAAGCAAGTGGTGCCAATTTTAGGAGACATAATTCTGGTTTATGTACTCATTTATAATACAAATAGCTCTTTTAATGCTAAAATAATTTCTAATGAACAATAAAATGCCACTTTGCAAGGAAAAAAAATCTACAGTTCCAACTTAGAATAACACACCTAAATGTAAAAACAGAGCAATGCAAAAACAAAGTCAAACCATCATAGTTTCCTAGTGATCTCCAAGTGTAAATTGTTATCCACTCATGACATCACTACGTGTGCCTATTTCTTGAAGCTACTGGATTTGGTTTACAAACACTTTTAGAAATCACTTCACATTTTAGTTTATAAAGACGACTTGGTCTTTTCCCACACTGTGGGCACATTTTATTTTTCGCCCCCACTTTTAAAACAGACAATACATGGAAAAGAAAAAAAATTACATATAACCACTTTAATTTGATGAACTGCTTTCATCAAATAATGCATAATTTTCTTTAAGGAAAAAAAAAGCAAAAGAAAGCAACCTTACCTCTAACTGGTGGTCTTTCCAGCTCAGAGTCCAGGTGAATCGGCGGGGAAATGTATGACACCTGCCCATGATGCACCTGCCCTGTGGGGACAAAAAGAGATGTTAGGAAGACATTGCAGCTGCGCGCTTTGTCCTTTTCTCTGGTTTGTTTTTGGGATGTCAATCACATTCCTCTGTGTTAAACTGACAGGCATTCTTGACTGAAAAATGATCTGTGCAAAAAATAATCTGTGTCATCCAAATATCATGCGATTAAATCAGTCTTTCTCCAACTACTTGAGATTAGCTTTCTTTTGCCTCTTAGTCAAACTGCAAATGTGCTACAAAGTGATATTCTTAGAAAACTAATTATAAGAAAAGAGAAGTTGGGCCCCATGTCATGACCTAGCAGCTAAAGTCCTCGCCTTGAACATGCAGGGATCCCATATGGGCGCCAGTTCTAATCCGAGCAGCTCCACTTCCCATCCTGCTCCCTGCTTGTGGCCTGGGAAAGCAGTCAAGGACAGCCCAAAGCCTTGGGACCCTGCACCCCTGTGGGAGATCTGGAAAGAAGTTCCTGGCTCCTAGCTTCAGATTGGTGCAGTACCAGCTGTTGTGCTCACTTGGGGAGTGAATCATCGGATGGAAGATCTTCCTCTCTGTCTCTCCTCTCTGTATATCTGATTTTGTAATAAAAATAATTTAAAAAGAGAGAGAGAGAAGTTGAGAAAAAAGTAAAATGCAAGTCCGTGTGTTTACTGTTAGATTAAATGGGCATGAAGTGGTCTTTGTTCTTGATGTCTGTGTTGACTTCATTTCACATCAATAATAAATAGTTTACTTTCCACCATCTGATACAAAAATAACTGATTTCACTCACTTCATGACCCTGATTTGCTTATATTTTTCCTCAAAACTTATTTCCATATTTTGAGTAGAAAATTATTCCTACCTGCCTATTTTGTTTGATGGGGAAAAGGTGACTAATGGAACTCATGAAGAAGGCCAATGGGTTCATCCTCCAGTTTCTACACAGCATTTGACTAGCTCACATGCAGTATACTTTCTGTCTTATGAACTGAAGCAGTTACAGCTTTGTTTAAACATCAAAGTGCTAACTGAAAAAAACTTGGCCTAAATACTAACAATTTCCTAATATCGAGAGTAGATACCGTTTGTATGCTGCTAATTCAGTAACCTATCAGTATTTTGGAGGTAAGAAAACCTAAATGATAGAGTCACTTCAATTAAAAAAAACACGTATTTATTTTTCATATACTTGAAAGGAAGAGGGAGAGAGGGAGAGAAGCAAATCTTTCACCTACTGGTTCACTTCCCAAATGCCTGAACTCCATCTGGGTCTCCCATGTGGCTGACAGCAATCCAAGCACTTGAGCCAAATTAGAATGGAGGAGCTAGGTCTCCAATCGGCACTCTGATACGCAATGGGGGAATGTCCCAAGTGGGGGCTTATCCTACTGTGCTACAACATCCAACCCTCACTGCAATTTTTAAAGCTTCTTTCTATATAAATAAGGCTGGGCAGGAGTGGAAGACTCTTTCCACAAAGGGAATGTGCAGTTCTATTTCACACATTCACTGTAGCAATTTACAGGGTTGTTAATTTCTTTTCCTAAACAAGGAAAGTTAATGATACATAGATTATGATAACAGTTAGAGTAACCTTCCCATTTCAAGTAATATTCAACTTGTAATAAACTCTGCTGATTCCTCTTAGGAGGCACATTTCAAATAATTAATATGGCTCCCTGTTGATGGCGGTTGCCACTGCTCCCAGCGTTTTCGCAGCTCACGGCAGACCGTGCAGGGCCTGTAAAGCAAAGAGTCCCTCGTCATGATAACTAAGAATATTAAGCAATCACTGGCCTCGTGTCAGTGGAATACTAAAGGCACTGCCACGAGAGGAAGAAGATGCAATTGTGCACCACTGGCAGTCTGTGTGCAGTCTAGTTCATTATCAACTTCAGATGATCTCATTCTAAAACTGCCTATTTACCTATGTTTACATGGTGGGCTACAAGTACACCTGTGCTTTTTCAGGCTTTGTGACATTACGTCTGACTTGCTTTGAAACACTGTGGCTTCTGTAAATAAAATAACAGACCTCTCACATTATATTGGCTTAAAATAACCTCAGCATATAAAATAATATTGATTTCACGTCTACTCCTGAAACACAGCGTTTACCACAGATGAGAACAACCGCCAAGCATCATCTCTCCACTCATCTATCACCTCTTGGGCTCAACCACCGCCACTGTGAATATTACACACTATGTTACTACATACGTATTTATAGGACAAGAAAACAAGCAGAGGAGATTGACTTGTTGAAGCACATGTAAGCGTTAAGCAGCCATCCACAGGGTTTTGACTCCAACTCTACAGTTTCAATCCACGTGTACGTTTCTCAAGGAAGGTCTCAATATACTAAAACGTAGCCAGTAATGCATAAACATTTAGCAATAATACCAAGGAAAATCCCTCATCTGGAGAATGTCATTCACTCTATTCAGTATGAAGTAAACAGGGCAGGGAGATGCCACATTCACCTGTTCTGGGGCGAAGCACGCAGTTTCAAAGGCACTGCACGGACACACTCTCTAAGGAGCCTGCAGATCAGGAAGTGCAGATCCCCACAGGCAACTGTGAAAATCAACACCCAGGGTGCAGATCACTGCCATCCTCGGGCTGCTTTACCATAACATCATTCCACCTCCAAGGACAATTCTAGTTAAGTGCCCGAAGGGGAAAAGAAAAGCCAGGAAGAAGGGGTAAGAACTGTTTGAGACTTCAGGGCTTAGGGTCAGACATTTAGTACTATTTTTCCATTTCCTGATGGGACTGTCTCTCTACAGAATCAAAAGTAAAAGTTACAGAGGTGGCTGTGGGCTGATCTCGCCTGAAATCCTTAACAAGCTTCCTGGTGCACTTCGGATGAGTGATACTTACACAGTGATCCCTACAGGAACACATAAAAAATAAAAACAAGGCCAAGGCAGTGTTTCCCAGGGTGGCAATCATTCTTTATGGGGAGGGCGGGTCAGCACTTGAGGACAGGGTGTGACTTGGTCACAGACCCCAAAACGCCCACCTCCTTAGAAATAATGACATCACCATCACAGGCAAACCCATCAATCATCACCATCAACAGCTTTCCTAAACTTTATGACAAATGAATTTTAACCATTACTGTGATGAGTTCAGGCAGAACTTGCTTTGCCAAAACACAGGACAACCAAATGCCATTTTTATATGTATGCCATGTGCTTGCAGGTGTACTTATTTATTTGACATGCAGAGTTATAGAGAGAAGGAGAGACAAGAGAGATCCCATTCATTCCCCCAATTGGTTCACTCTGCATCTGGCTGAAGCCAGGAGCCAGGAGCTTATTCTAGGTCTTCAATTTAGATGGCAGGAGCCCAAATACTTGGGCCATTTTTTGCTTTGCCAGGTAATTTGCAAGGAACTGAAACAGATATGGAGTAACTGGTGCCCGTATTGGATGCTGGCATTGCAGATGGAAGCTTAAGCCACTACACCACCATGGCAGCCCTCCAAATGTTCCAGAATACTGTCTTAGCATTCCAGAATGCTCTCTCATTCCCTACGTTACCCACTAGGCCCCAGTGTCTTACACCAATCCTTTCATATAGCCAAAGCTTTGTATGCATTCAGATAAACAGTGCGATGTGCCTCTTATTGTTCAAATGGCAAGCTGTTCACACCTGCTCATGTCCTCTGAATTTTTGAGTGAGCAATCATAATGACATTTGCTTAAAATTGTATTAACTCTGTGAATAAATTTGGAGAAAAGACATCTAAAATACTGGGTTAGAGGAGTAGTTCACTCACTCTATGTCAACAGTGATCTATTTCCTTGACATTTTAATTTAACACTTTTCATTTACTTTTGGGGGGTTATGGGTTTCTGAAAGCCTGGAGCTTTGCTGATCATCACAGTTGGGAATTACGAGTTATTGACTTTGATCATTCTAGGTCCTTGAAGTCAGTTAGATACAATTATAAACATTTTCAATATTTTCTGCAGTCTTTATTATATGAAATAATAAGCCATAAGCATGAACCCTTTTGTGCTGCAGAATTTAAATTCTAAAGGATGATTTTCTCAATTACTCAATGGACAGGTCGGAGATTCATGATGCTTTATTTCTGCTGCCTTTTTAACTTCAATTCCTACAAAATGATCAAAATAAACAATGTTTGGTGGGTAGATTTCCTGAAGGAATTCAACATAAGGGCAAAGGGAGTGGTAAAGCTAAAGTGTCATACAGTAGCTAGGAAGTCTCGAAGAAGGGGATTGGATGTGTAAATGGGTCACTTTGGCATCAAGACCGTGTCCAGCTGCAGACGATGGAGAGTCAGCGGCGTCAGCCACTTGCCCAGTCCTCGATTCACCTTCACCTTTGGAAGGGGGCAGAGACTCTGGCCGCAGGAGCTGTGGCTTCCTTCCCCAGCCCTCACAGTGACCTTAGCTTGTGGAAGCAGCTGTGTTTGTATGGACAGCTCCACTGAAAATCGACCTTTCAGAGTTTCACCTCCTATTTCTTACTCACTGCCCAACCACTCTGTTTTCTTGAAGGTCAAACTTTTCTTTGTTTACAAGGACATGTGAGGGTCAGACCTGGCTTCCATGCAATGGCATCTAACGTGTATACAACCATCTGTCTTTTCTCCCGTTAACCTGTGTCTTATTAGTTTTACTCTCAAACTCTCAGTACTTAAAACCAGGAGAGTAGAGGAAAAAAAAAAAAGATTTCCTTCTTTACAAAGAATAGCGGCTACAGCGAAATAGGAAACTAGCATATTAATTAGAATGTATTCATATTCATGTTAAGTAAAATTAAACCTTTTCAGGAAAAAATGTATATATATATTTTCAGGGAGAAAATACACACATATATACATACATACACATATGTGCAGATACACGTTTGCACTACCATAATTCAATCATCATGAGCAAATTAACTCAAATTGATTTAGTGATTTTTTTTTATATTCACAGAACTATGCAACTGCCATCACAATCAATTTTAAAATACTTTTACCAAACAAC